AACATACGCATCAGGGTTATTTATTTAACTCATGCATTGACAAAAGGGCCTTTTTCTTTGTAACTTTGTGTTAGCCTTAGCCATTAGTTCAAAAAAGGGTACAGAAACTAGTGAACTACTCCTAACAAAAGATGAAGAGAATGTCATGCTTGATCATGCTATATAAGGAATACAGTTGCATTTTGTGACTTGTATTTTTGTACCATGATGCAAGTAAGGGGGAAGATGTACGGTAATATTCTGTGACATTTTAGTTGTTCTACTGAGATATTTTTACAACCACCAAGATGGACGTTTCCCAGATGTTGATGTCTGGACATTACATTTAAATCCATGAGGCACTTGTGCCTCGCACGGATCTAAAGAGCCATCTGAACACACCCAGAGCCTGTAAGGAACATCTTAAAATTACAGTAGGTTCAAATCAAAGTTTCCTTGTTTTCTGGGTTTTCATAGTTCAAACTGCTTTGAGGCAGAGCAAGATAACAACCCTTTAAATAAACACTTTGCACTTTGAATTGGGTAACAGAAACCAATTAGAAACCAGTGTCACTTTTGTAAACCAGCATGATAAGATCCCTGAGGCAGCTGTAGTCTGGCAGCAGCGGCGCAAACCAACTGCAATTTCCAAATACTGTTTAAAGGCAGCTTCAAGCAGAGCATGTTTTACCAATTTAATCTGGACACCAGAGCACAGTGTAGAATTGTCATGCTAAGAGTTACCACCAGAATTACCCTGGCTAGGTCCTTATTTTCTCAGAAAAGGCACAGCTTGTACAATAGTTTTACCCTGTAAAAAGGTGTTCATGATTACCTGAGCATTTAGGAAACATATCAGGTGCAAGAGAACCTCCAGCCCTTCTTCAGAAGAAACATAACCCCATACAACACAGGTACAGCATCTATTGCAGAATCAAATGGATTCCCAAATGTAGGGTTACCAAATGTTTTTTGGCCGGGAGCGGGGGGCTCCCGGCCGGCGTCTTAGGCGTGCACACGCGCGTCACCCAGAAGTGACGTCGTACGCTGGGGACGGGGTTTCCCTCGGGCCCCGATTCCGTGGGAGTGGAAATCAGGGCTCGAAAGCGGGGGGAATTCCGCCCCCCGGGGGCATTTGGCAGCCCTACCCAAATGACAGATGGAGATGAGTTCAAGATACTAATGGGGAGGCTCATATCTCCAAGGAATTTACTACTCTAACAGCATAACCCTAAAGTGCGGGGAGTACTCAGGGAGCCAACTGACCTTTGTGTCAATGTATGTCTGAGATATGCCAGGGTAAGGGTCAGTTCTGATGGTGCAGTTCCCCAGGTCCATTGCCTGAGTGGAGCTCGCGTCATCGGCATGGACATTGAAATCACCCAGGAATATCAGTCTAGGGTGTTCCAGTGCCCAGCCTGATACGGCCTCCATCAGGGATGGCAGGCTATCAGCTGGTGCGTTAGGCAGTCGGTACACCAGCCAAATTGCCAAACTCTCCCCAGCCTCCCACACCAGGCCGGCACACTCAATGACCATGATCTTTGGTGGCGGGAGTGCCCTGAAGGAGTAAGCCTCCCGAATGAATAGAGCCACTCCCCCCCGCCCATTAGTCCATGATCAGTGAAGCACCGAGAACCCAGGAGGTGCTAACTGGGAGAGAGCTACGGTCTCCCCATCTCGTACCCAGGTCTTGGTCATGCCCATCTCGTACGCCAGGTCCATATCCTTCTCCAGCAGGAAGTCACGGAGCACCATGGTCTTATTGTTTATGGACATGGCATTACACAACACCAATGTCGGAGAGGGGTTATTAATCTGAGCCCCACTGCCGACTACCTTTGGGATGGGTGTAGGCTGGAGGGGGACCGAGCCTTTCTGTTTCTCAGTCTCCCTCCCTTGCATTTATGCCTAGACCCACTGCTATACTTTCCCCTCCCCAGGAGCACTGGTATCCCTTGACAAACCATTGCCACTAATGGTCTTTGCTAAGCCACAGACCACTAGTAGACTGTTTGGTAGGTGGGAATGTAGGGGTTCTGTAGCAATTCTCCCTGTAGTAGGAGTCATCCTAGATAAACTCAACAAACCTAATTTATCCTAACATAAATTAAATTCTGATGGTGCAACAATTTGGTGCAGAAATCACTCTCATACACTGGCCAGTAAAAAAATACAGACCAGTGATAACATCCCAATTTGCCCTATAACTCTAAGATCAACCCCAAATTTGTCAGATAACAAGTTACACACAAGAACAACCAATAGGATAGTTAGTCCCTAGCAATCAGTTGATTAATCATATACAATTCATTCCATTACTTTATCAAGATTTTAAATCCCCATTCATCCCTTCAATTAATTGCTCCCACAATTAGACCTTAATCAATTATAATAATTACCCTACTATAGGTACCCCCAGCTCATATCAACTTCAAATTAATTTTGGTCTAACTCGCTAGGGCTTCCTGACTCCAATGTCTTAGTAGCTGCTTGTCACTTTCTCTGCTCCACATGTATGCTCCCGTGCAGGAGTCTCTGGTTTCTTTCTGGTGTTGTAATGAGACAGTTCCTTTTTTGAGCCCTAAGGTCCTCCTCAGTTTTGGTCTTCCCTGTCGCTTCCCCCAGCTGACTGTCCAGCTCCGACAGCCAGGACACAAGCACCGCCGTGCCCACAACAGCCACAAGCAACAGGCGAGCAGACAGCAAAAGCGGCCGAAGGCAGAGAATGTGGGTAGGCGCGGCTTTGTCAGCAAACGGCCGCAGCATCCAAGGGCGGGCACAGCATGGCGGCTGCAGCTGCAGCTGCAGAGAGAGAGTGATGCCAGTGGCCGCCACTCACCCAGGCACTGGCGCGCTCGCCTGGCAAGTCCGAGGAGCCGCCCTACGGAGCGCTCCAAGCTGGCCCAGTTCCGGTTGCCGCGAGACACCGGGGGACCCTGCGCCATGCACCCCGCTGGGACAGGAAAGGTGTCAGTCTGTAAGTTCTCGGTCTCTGAGCTTGCATTCCTGTAGTGCAAGTGAAGGTTGGCAGCTAGCGAAGAACTGCTAAATTTTGCTTTTCTTTGGCAGAGCCTCTAGCACTAGGCTCCGCTCAGCGTCACCGTCTAACTAAGGCAGAAGGTGGCTACAAATGTGCATTTGGATGCTCATCCAAGTGTGTGTGCCACTGAAAATAATGAAATGTGGATGGGTGATATCCAGATGCATATCCAAACACAGACATACATTTGTACCACATTGCCAGCAGAAAGATTCACATTTGAATACTTATCAAAATAAATCATATTTAGTTTTCCCCAGGTAGTAAAGCATAACTCGACCTATTAGAGCTAGATTAGTGTTAAGTACCACCATGCAATGATGAAAAGTTACAAAATCACTTTCACAGCAAAATAAATCAGGACGTATCAGCCTGCATGCCTGAGCTAAGGAATGCCTTCTTCATTCAAAGTGAATGTGTAGGGCAGCATCATTCACCTCACATAGCCATATATAATGGCCTACCTGCACCATGGCATCATCTTGTTCACTAGGCCATCCCTGATTGGCTTGGGATGACAAGAGTGAAAAAGCAGCAATAGCATTAGCTTTAAACAGCTCTGTAGCAGCAACCACAGGAGGAAATGATGGTGTGCACGTAGGGGAAAAAAACATGGAAAGTAGAGGAGTTCCCCCACCCCCCCACCCCCACAAAAAGGCAACTTTTGCAACAAAATTTTAACCTTGTGAAAATTCAGCACAGAATCTGTTGATGCTGAACTCGGTGGCACATACTCCAAATAAGTATTTGTAAGATGACAGCTACAGAACACTATCCAATCGGTATTCAGAAAAAATCCCTCTGAACTGAACAGAACTCACTCCCAAATCAAAGCAATTGGGGTTGCAGATTTAATATTTCAGTAGAAGAGTTGAGCAGATGCTGTAGAACTGAATGGGATTTAAAGTCCTTAGCTCTGACAGGATCATGTCCCTATAATACGCAAAGTCATAAAGAACTGCTACTGACAAAAGCACAGCGGGTATAATCCGTAGCCCACTGAAGGCAATGGCAATATATTTCTGGATTGCACCCAAAGCCCTGTATTCTAACTAAAACTTGTTTTACATTCATGCAGTGACAGCCCATTAAACTGTGCCTGCAACTCCTTTTAATTTGTTGCTGACCTTTGACAATGTATAGCATGTTTGTTTTGAACAAGCAAACTAATTATGAAAAAATAAAACACGTGACTACATTTACTCATGCAATCAGAATACATTTTCAATACAGCATGTAAGGGTTTATATATGTGACTTCCAATTCTCCTAATGGGAGCTAGCTGGCTAATGCCCAGTGCATTTCACGTAAAGTTTGCCCCATACAGTGCATACATAATGAAAATGTGGTAATCTTCTGCTCTACTGGCACGAACAAGAAAATGGAAATATTTTCAATTTTCTGTTGCTTTTTAGTCCCAGCTCTCTATACAAATAGGGATTTTTACCTACCTACAGACCTTGCAACAACAATATGACAAATCTCTCTGAAGTCTCCAACAGAGCAGGTTTATATTTTCAATATACAGATGGCCCTGTTCTTTCTATATTATATTTAACTTTGGACACCACACGGTGAAAGATATCACTCAGCAATTCCAAACAATCCTCCTAAGTTAAAGCATTTCTGTTCACTATTGTGGAAGTAATACACCCTGACCTGCATAGCCCAGGATAGCCTGAGCCCACCAGATCTCAGAAGCTAAGCAGGGTTGGCCTTGGCTAGTATTTGGAAGGGTGTCCTCCAAGGAATACCATGGTCTTGGTGCAGAGGCAGGCAATGACAAACCACCTCTGAAACATCTCTTTACTTACAAACAAGTTTAACTCACCACCTAGTGGCGCATAACACTAAAGAGCTACAATTTCCGGCTGCCAGATAATCTTAGGATCTCCTGGCTATTCTACACACAATGCCATACAATAATTATTATTAATAATTATTACTACAGCCTGACAAGCAAAAGATGAATGCTCACCTTATGACAAAGTCATGGTTATCAATCTCTTTTCCACACCCACTATCCAGAAGGATGCCAGAATTTCCTACAACTGCACACGTTTTAAAACGACGGTTCTTCATTGGTGAAACCTCTGGAAGAAGGCTGTGAAGATCCTGAGAAATATTTAGTGTACGACGTCTATCTAGCACATAGTGAATTACGTCTCCTGGCTTGAAGCTGCTTTTGACCACTGAGACATCTCTTTCTGCATCCAAGAATCGAAGAATGTTCTTCCTATATTTAAAACAATAAAGCCAATTTATGGTACCTCTGCAAGATATATTCCAGAAAAGTAGTATGTAGCACTTGAACTGGGGCATGAACTTTTACTGACAGTTTATGAGGACACTTCATGCATCTGGTAAAGCAAGATTGGGCTATGCATAGCTCAAACCAATATGAAACCATTTCAGTGTCATCTTAAGGTGCCACTTCTAAGTCCACTGAAGTCAATTGGATAGCATATGAAGCTGCCTTAAACGGAATCATACCATTGGTCTGATAGTCTATATGGTTTAGTCAGACTGACAACAGCTCTTTGGGGTATCAGGTGGAGGTCTTTCGCATCACCAACTACCAAATCCTTTTAACTACAGATGTCAGGGATTGAACCGGGGACCTTCTTGTGCCAAGCAGATGTTCTACCACTGAGCCATGGCCCCTCCCCTAAGAAGGGTGTAACTCTACTTATGATATAACTCAAGTTTTCAATGTACACCAAAGCTCTTTCCTTTTCCTATAAGATATGACACACAATAAAATAAAACATGAAGTGCGAAAGCTATTCATTTATGGCTTCCATAAACCTATGATGAAACTACATTTGTAAATCTAAGGCTCACAGGCCATAACTTGATTTTAAAATTCAAAAGATCAATTTCCACTGATACATTTTAGTGATTTTTATGATTCAATCAACAGTTACATTGCCTGACTCCATTCCAGAGGGGTATGCTGCAGACAAAACAACAGAGCCTTGTAACATCTTAAGGACTAATTAATTTATTGTGGAAAAAGCTTGAATGAGCACTCATGTATTCATAACCAAATTATTTTAAAGTTTCAAGATTGCATTGCTTGCTTAAACAACCACACAAAGAGAACTAGAACAGGATCAAACAAAACAGCTACACACCCATTTCAAGTTCTGATTCTCTTCATGCATTAGTCTATTTCTAAAAATCTTGTTGATTTTAACAAGCATTTATTACATAATATACTAAATTGCAGGGTTGTATATAGACCTAGGCTGCTTTCAGAAGACAAATGTAACCATTGTTAAGTTTAAATGTGCATGAGTCCAGCTTGTTCACAGCCACATGGATGCATGCTTTGCTTTCTCCTTGTTCTGGCTTTCTCCTTAATTCTGGCTATATATAATGTCTATAATATAAAATTAATTCTAGCTGTCAGTGATGTACAAACACAAGCATGTGGGTTAACCTGAGATAGTTCACACACACACACACACACACACACACACACACACACACACACACACACACACAGGGATTCTAACCCAGATTTGAATGCAGGTTTAAAATTTTGGTTAGTGGGGGAAGATTAACACTGGATAACCTGCCGTATGCCTGCATCTGCAGATCACAGATAGCCAGCAGGGATGTGCAAAAAAAAATAAAAAAAAATCAGCCCATTAAGATTCAGCCGAATCATGCCGAATGTGATTCGGCCAGCCGAATGACCCCCCCAAATTCCACTTTCAGCAATGCAAGCTGACTGGGGTGGCATTCGGCTGGCCGAGTCACATTTGGCTCAATTATACCCTATGGGAACTGTCCCCATAGGGTATAATAATTCCCCCCTTGAAGGGGGGGTTCCTATCACTGAAAGGAAGGCAAATTGCCTTCCCTTCAATGAAGGGAGTGTGCCACCTCTGCAGTACGACTCGAGTTTTAAAGTTTAAATCCCCCCCAGTCATGTCGCAGAGGCGGCACACTCCCTTCATTGAAAGGGAAGGCAATTTACCTTCCCTTGAGTGAAGGGAGCCCGCTGCCCCCCAAGCTAGCCCCCGGCCTTCCCTGGCCCACCCACCAAAGCCGGCAAGCCGGCAAAGGCCTTGAGTAAGCCCCCCACCTTTCCCGGCCCACCCACCGAGGCGGGTGAGCCAGGAAAGGCCTGGGAGGGTGCAGGGAGGCATTTAAATGCTTCCCTGTGCCTTCCCTGGCCCATTCGCTGAAGCAGACGAGCCAGAAAAGGCCTGCAGAACCCACCACCTTCCCTGGCCCACCCGCCTCCGTGGGTGAGCCAGGAAAGGCCCGGGAGGGTGTGGGGAGGCCACACATGTGGCTAACCAGTTGCCCTGGATGACCAGTGAAAAGGATATAGATGCCAAGGAGTCTAGCACTAGCATTCAGGGGGTTCCTGCCTCTGGGTGTAGTGGTTTCCTTGAGTCATCTTGACTAGCACCCATTGGTGAGGCACTCCTTCATGAATCGGTCCCATTTGCTTTTAAATGCTATGTCCCGTGAATTCCACAATTTAATTGCTTCTTTACTCAACAAGTGTTTTCTTTGGTCCATCCTAAATCTATTGCCCATCAATTTCACTGGGCACCACCCATGTTCTATTATTATGGGAGAGAGAGCAAAAGTTCTCTGTATCCACTTTTTCCACCCCCCACACATAATTCTGAAGCCCCTATCACATGCCCCCATATAGTCTATTTTTTGTAACCTGATACCTGTATCATTTAGTTGTATCGGGCTTTGTAACAATAAGGTAATAACACCAAAGAATGGTCAAGAGAATGAATTTTAAAAAGCAGCATTCTTAAAATAAAGCATACACAAACCAAAAAGATAAACGTCCATCAAGATAGTCTGTAGACTTTGCAAAAGTACAAAATAGAAGGAAATGAACTCCATCATACCGGAAAGCTCAAGCTGTAAACAAGCCCAATGAGAAAGTATTACAGCCGATGTGCTAAGATCCTTCCATCTGTAAAACTTACAAGATGAAAAGGAGAGAGAATGGCTGGCATCTTATGAAAAGTACAAATGTGTTTTAACAGCAGTTATCAAAAAGGAATAGCATTTGAAATACTAGGGTGGAAATCAATGCTTAATTGGACTTAAGCTTAACTCTTAATTCAAAATGTAACTATCCCTGCTGTTTACAAATTTTGCCTGGCAAAGGTGGTGGGGGGAATGAGAGGCCAGTTCAAGAAATAGTTGTTGAGATATAAGTGCCACAGTCTCCCATGTCCTAGTCTGATACTACAACCACTAGACCATGCTGGCTCTTGTGCTTCAAGCACTTGTAAACAATTTTTGAAACTGTTTTTAAAGTCAAAGGGCAAGTGAAATGTGGTCAAGTTGTTTTTGGGAACATTTTTAAACCACTGTTTCTTGTATCTTAAACCAGATTCACATGAGAAGGCAGGAGTTTTTCTGTCTGGTTTAGGACTTTCATGAAGATGTGAAACAAAGGGAAGAACATCTGATGATTCATCATGCATGAGACCGAGAACTGAAGCAGAACAGAAAATATGAAAACCTGAAGTGCCTAAAGCTCCAAGTACATGATGCAAGTCAAGAAAAAAGTTTCCTTTCTTCTCTAGCAAAGACTATTTTTACCATTACTGTAATCCTTAAAAGCCTTCCAATATGCTTAGATAAGCAAATTGTATTAATATTTGGGGGAAATGTACTCATAAGCAAAAACAAACAAACCCAACCCCTGATTTTACTGTACAATGGTTTTGTGTAGGCTACAATCTCCCACTACTCAGGGGACCCAATGCTTCTCTAGTCATTGCAACCTTATTGAACAAGGTCCCTTATTCACTGCTATTTAAGGTACAGAAGCATCTTTGAGTTCAGGGTTTGTGGCTTTCTGGTGGAGGAAATGCTACACATTGTGACATGCTGCAGAATCAAAGATGAGTTTTAACGGAAATCCTGCCTCTACTATCTGCAGTTCATAAGGCACTGTACTGGTTTGGTCTACAAGCAGACACAAACACAGTGTCACTACCCAAGAAACTTACAGAAGCCACTAGCTTTTCACAGGAAAAGAACTGAGTTACAACCTTGCAACTGATATTAAGCAACACATTGCAGGGTTTTGCCTGCTATCTGTGATATGCTGAGGAGCCGGGATGGCAAGGCCCCCCTCATCCACACCCTCTGAGGCAGCTGAAGGGACCACAGATGGCTCTTTGTGATTCAGCTATCTTCCAGAAAAGCCAAGAGGGCAAGGCCTTTCTGGGATGGTCCAGCCAATCTATTAGAGACTGCTGAGTGCTGTGTAGTATTGTTAGGAATAATACACACCTTCATTTTGCAAGGGACTATGAAAACTTTTAAAGTAGAAAAGTGACCACTAAATTCAACAAGCAGATAAATAAATACGGAAATGATTCCAGCCAATCATGAAAAACTGTTTTAAGGATGACTGAAAATGCTCCATAGGAAGTGTTTTGCAAACGAAAGGCTCTAAATACTTGAAAATGGACCATACAAATGCTACTCATCAGTAGCTGTAATTAATCCTGTCCAATCTTGTGCTCCATTACAGCCAGCCTTACATTCTAACTGGCTTCCAGCCCAGCTCCACACTGAGCCAGAAAGCCCTACACTTTTCAGGGTCAGGTCAGCCTTCAGCCCTCGGCACGGCAGACTCAGCTGCTGGCATGTTTCGGTTCTCTCACTTCTTCCTCTACTTGATAATCTGCCCAGCTAGTTAGTGCAATTTTTCCCCACCAAGGAGCTCGGTGAGTCATATATGGCTTTCTTTTCCCCATTAGCTCGGTGAGTCATATATGGCTTTCTTTTTCCCATTTCATCCTCATGAAAACCCAGGGATGTAGGTGAGGCTGAGAGTGAGTGTCAGGTCTGAGGTCGGCCAGGAAAGCCTCCCATGTCAGATTGGGGATCTGAACTTCTAACGGCTATACACACTGGCTCTTAATTTAACCCTGCTTATTAATGCTATCCTTATTTGATCTGATTTAAATACATAGGCTAGGATCATGGCAGTATGGCAGCAGAAGCACAGGCCCTGCAGGACTTAGGCAGAGGTCTGCAGTTTGCAGGCATCTGCCACAAACAGGCCAGCCCTTGACTCACTATACTGCACTTAATTTTCAGTCACAGTAAGTTGTAGTTTATTTTATTTACTCAGTTTTTATCTCGCTCCTTTCCCTGCCAGGCAGGGCTCAGGGCAGCTCACGTGCCAACAACTTAAGCATCTGTCAGCTACACTGCCATATT